GGGGGGGGGGTGTGGGGGGTGTGGGGGGACGGGGGGGGGGGGGGGGGGGGGGTTGGGTGGGGGGGTGGTGTGGGGGGTGGGGGGGTGTGGGGGGGGGGTGGGGGGGGGGTGTGTTGTGGGGGGGGGGGGTGTGGGGGGGGGGGGGGGTGGGGGGGGGGGGGGGGGGGGGTGGGGGGTGGGGGGGGGTGGGGGGGGGGGGGGGTGTGGGGGGTGGGGGGGGGGTGGGGGGGGGGGGGGGGGGGGGGGGGGGGGGGGGGGGGGGGGGGGGGGGGGGGGGGGGGGGGGGTGTTGGGGGGGGGGTGTGTGGGGGTGGGGGGGTGTGGGGGGGGGGTAGGGGGGGTGGGGGTGGTGTGGGTGGGGGGGGGTGTGGGGTGTGTGGGGGTGGGTGTGGGGGGGGGGGTGGGGGGGGTGGGCGTAGGTGGGTGTGTGGGTAGGTTGTGGTGTGGGGGGGTGTGTGGGGGGGTTTTAGTGGTGGGGGGGTGGTGTGGGTGGTTGGGTGTGGGGGTAGGGTGGGGATTAGGTGGTGTGGATTAGTGGGGGGGGGGGTGGTGTGTGGGGGGGGGTGGTGTGTGGGGGGGTAGGGGGTGTGTGTGGGCGTAGGGGTGTGTGGGGGCGGGTGTGTGTGTGGGGTAGGTGTGTGTGTGTGGGGGTGGTGTGGTGTGTGGGCGTAGGTGTGTGTGTGTAGGTGTGTTCTGGGGGCACTCAGCAGGGAGGAGAGGCCAGGAGCGCCAGTGGGGCACCCGGGTAGAGAAGGATTGGGGCTGCTCTGTGCAAAACCATTACTCGGAGCAGGCAAGAAAAAAAAAAAAGTTATAAAGTGAATCTTTAGTATCACTTTAAACTGACTCTAGCCCCCCTCCCCCATACTTGGCACTTGCACTAATGTAAACTGCTGAAGTACATTAATCTAAGTGGTTCTGTATACGGCCTCTGGCCTACGCGGAGGCCCCCCATTCTGAATCTACGCTGTTTGCTGATGGTTCTATGCACAGAGATATTGGCAGTGAACAATAAGTGACGAAAGCTACTAATCTGCTGTTTGGTAATCTAGACAAGGATGAAGCCTCATCTAGTTTTACAGATAAGGCGGTTTTTAATAAGATGCAGATAAGAAGATAAACTAGGGGAATAAAGCTGACCACAGACAGTGGAGGACACCTGGAGATGTCGCCAATTCTCTGATACACCTCATCACTTCAAAAGTAAACAATTTAGGAGTATTGATTTTCATCTGGTGATCCTGCCAGTAACATTTCCTGTCCTATGGTGATGATGCTCAAAATATCTATGGAGGAGCAGTGTTCCATAAGGGATAATATTTGTATTGCGATTCTGCAGGTCTTAAAACAGATGGGCCTCATGCACATGGGCGCCAGGGGCCATACAACGTAAAAAAAAACAAGCAGCATCCAGGGTGAATGTTTACTGGAATAGACCCACATACAGCCATTGATTTCAACAGGCAGCTGTATACAGCACCTGTAGCTTCTGGGCAAGGAAATGCGCCCAAATGTTACCTCGTACAGCACCAGGCCCCCAGGTGCAAGAGGCTCAGACCCCATTCATACACAAGTGCTTTGTAGTTTGAAACTTACAACCCCAAACTCAAAAAAAAAAAAAAGAAAAAAAGTCCATTGCAATGTAATGATGGCCGCTCTCATATGAACGCTCAGGTGCCTGTAGCATGACGCCTGATGCGCAAAAGCTACATAAGCCATTGCTGAGGAACATTTAGGTGTTTTGCCCCCACAGAATTTAAACGCTCAAATAAAGTCTGCACTAAATGGTCTCCTCCCTCCTAGCACTTTCCATTCCCTAAAACAAATGCCTGGAGCTTAAATACAGATATAAACCAATTTAGAAAATGCTTGTATGCACACGCAAAACAAGCTCAAACACCTGAAAATTGCCCTGCTCAGGTGTGAATGTTCACGTGTTACTAAATGTTCAATGATAGGATTTCAACAATTATGTCTTCTACACTACCGCCCCCCCACCACCATTTTATATATCTCGCTGCAAGAAAGAATTATCTCGAGCCGATTCCAAAGATGGGGTTGGCATTTATGATGTTATTTGAACCCATTTTATGAAATAAAATTTGTAGATACAGATTCCACAGTTCCTGATGAAGCAGAAGACCCCAGAAATGCTTCAAAACGCTAATCCCAGACCCATTGGAATTGGCTTAAAATAACGACAATCCTTTCTTTACTTCTAGATATGTAAAAGGCTGGCGGGAGAGGTAATGAGGAAAGTCCTGCGAAAACCACAACCGTGGTTCTATCATCGAAAATTTAGCACTAGTGTCAAGGTCTATCACATATGTTATTTGAGACCAGTTCTGCATCAAACCGCATGGAAAGTAGGTTATATGGTTTCCAACAGCATAGTTAAAAACCAGTGCGGTCAGTTCCAGGGCATTCCAGTTCCAAAAAAAAAAAAAAAAAAACACACACAAAAAAAACCAAAGTAGAACATGCTGCATTTTTCCTGCACTGGATTTTACTGGAATGCAGTAAAACGCATCAAAAAAAACGCAAAAAAAAACTCCTTTACCCCAGAATAGTGGAAAAAAAAAACAATCAGAAACTAATAAAAAATGCACCAAAAACGTGTAAGCAGAAACACATCCAGAATGGATCTAGAGTGCGTTTTCTGGAGTGAACCGGCCCTTAGAAGTGCAGAATTGAAATAATAAAAATCCAGAGGGGAATTTATTATTATCGAATGTGTGTTTTATATTCATCACATCTCCAATATATGTGCATTCTTGCCGCACAGGTAATCTCATTTTTGCTGTTTTTCAATGATGCGGCTCTTTTCATTTTGTAACATAATTGCGAATCCATACATTTTAGCACAATAATTGCAAGTGCTGTAAATTTTCCGGCTCTACACATCTTTGCCATTTAGTTGCAAATGTTAAGAGTGCTCTGGATCACTTCTGAAAGGAGTCCAAAGTCACTGCATTATTAGATATAATCAAATAATTGTAATTAATCATTAATTCATTTCATGATTTTAAACTACAGGTGGACGTTCACATGCAGACAAAGTACCATTCTAATGCACCCATCACTGATATCAGCCAACATGACATGCAAGGAACTGATGCAGATTAGTAGAAACAGCTTGTCTGGCTATAATGTGCTACAAAAAAATCGCAACCAATCACACTCCGGGCGCTGACCATAACTGAACTAGGTAGTGCAAGATGGCTTCATCTCTTCACCCAAAGGAGAGGTCCCTCAGATGCGCCCCCCCCCCCCCCCCCCCCCCCCCCCCGATAAAACACGCAGGACCTCTCCTGCAGGTGGAGTAGAACTGAAGCCATCTTGCACTACCTGGTTCAGTTTTGGTCACAGTGAGTCGGTATCCTGAGTGTGATCAGTTGACATTTTTTTTATACTATAGCTGGATGTTGCTAAACATCCATCCCTGTATCCCATCCTTGCATTTTAGGGCCTCTGAAACAGTGTTGGGTAGTCAGGAGATCAAGGTTACAACCTTTCAGGGTCTGGGGGTGCTCAGTGGATTTTGGGCCCGTGTGTGGCTGGGCTGCTGGGGGGTCTTATGCATGTGGTGTCCCCATGCTCGGGAGAGGTGGCGGAGTGTGTTTTGGGGAGTGGTTCCACGTGTCCCCGTGGCATGTGTGGGAACAATTTCATTGAATTGACAACTTTGTGTGAAAGGAAAAAGTTTGTTGGTATTTTCCATAATCTTGTGGCGAGGAATAAATTATTCCATAGAAGATTTTTTTTTTTTATTTTATGGTTGAACTGGATGGACTTTTGTCTTTTTTCAGCCAGACTAACTATGTAATCTACTACTCACTTAATGGGGGACATGCTGATGAGGCCGCGGGATGGTCTCCTAGTGGGCTTGCTGTCCAGGCTCCTGCCTTCCTTCCTAAGCAAGCACAGTAGGTTCCTGAGGGACATGGTGAATAGTGTGGACATTCTGGGGGGTTCCTGGTCTTTCACAGGCAGGTATACCTGGCTGCCTCATGCATCGGTTGTCCAATGGTCAGGACCCCTGCATGAACTACTTCTGCACGAGAACAGCGATGTCACATGTACTGCTGCATATTTATATGCTAGCTACAGCAAAACACGTCTATGCCAAAAACGTAAAGCGAAAGTTCCATTTTAAGGCCTCCTCCTCCCCTTTCCCTTTCAGTAATGGCACTTTTGAGGAGTGGGGAACAGGTACCCAATTTTGACAGTTACCCGCTCCCATCAACACAAGATGACTTGTGATGACAATCGTATATACTATTTTTTTTTTGCCATTTTTGTTTTCCCACAAAAAAGTGTAGTTACCCTTTAAGTCACTTTTTTCTGTATTGTTATGTGTATTATAATATGCTGAAATGTGCCACTAGATTGTACTATGCAAACAAATAGAGACCACAACTGCTGTAACAGTATTACCGTATTTTTCGCTCCATAAGACGCAAATTCTGAACTAATGGACAGCAGACATAGTACAGGAGATGACCAGAGACTGCGGACATAGTACAGGAGATGACCAGAGACTGCGGACACAGTACAGGAGATGACCAGAGACTGCGGACATAGTACAGGAGATGACCAGAGACTGCGGACAGTACAGGGATGACCAGAGACTGCGGACACAGTACAGGGATGACCAGAGACTGCGGACACAGTACAGGAGATGACCAGGGACTTCGGACACAGTACAGGGATGACCAGAGACTGCGGACACAGTACAGGAGATGACCAGAGACTGCGGACACAGTACAGGAGATGACCAGAGACTGCGGACAGTACAGGGATGACCAGAGACTGCGGACACAGTACAGGAGATGACCAGAGACTGCGGACACAGTACAGGAGATGACCAGAGACTGCGGACAGTACAGGGATGACCAGAGACTGCGGACACAGTACAGGAGATGACCAGAGACTGCGGACATAGTACAGGGGATGACCAGAGACTGCGGACACAGTACAGGAGATGACCAGAGACTGCGGACAGTACAGGGATGACCAGAGACTGCGGACACAGTACAGGAGATGACCAGGGACTGCGGACACAGTACAGGAGATGACCAGGGACTGCGGACACAGTACAGGAGATGACCAGGGACTGCGGACACAGTACAGGAGATGGACCAGAGACTGCGGACACAGTACAGGGATGACCAGAGACTGCGGACACAGTACAGGAGATGACCAGAGACTGCGGACACAGTACAGGGAATGACCAGAGACTGCGGACATAGTACAGGAGATGACCAGAGACTGCGGACACTGTACAGGAGATGACCAGAGACTGCGGACACTGTACAGGAGATGACCAGAGACTGCGGACACAGTACAGGAGATGACCAGAGACTGCGGACACAGTACAGGAGATGACCAGAGACTGCGGACACAGTACAGGGAATGACCAGAGATTGCGGACATAGTACAGGGAATGACCAGAGACTGCGGACATAGTACAGGAGTGACCAGAGTCTGCGGACCAGTACAGGAGAGACCAGAGTCTGCGGACATAGTACAGGAGATGACCAGAGACTGCGGACATAGTACAGGAGATGACCAGAGACTGCGGACACTACAGGAGATGACAGAGACTGCGGACATACTACAGGAGATGACCAGAGACTGCGGACATACTACAGGAGATGACCAGAGACTGCGGACATACTACAGGAGATGACCAGAGACTGCAGGCATAGTACAGGAGATGACCAGGACTGCGGACATACTACAGGAGATGACCAGAGACTGCAGGACATAGTACAGGAGATGACCAGAGACTGCGGACATAGTACAGGAGATGACCAGAGACTGCGACACATAGTACAGGAGATGACCAGAGACTGCAGACAGGAGATGACCAGAGACTGACCAGTACAGACTGACCAGAGACAGTACAGGAGATGACCAGAGACTGCCGACAGTACAGGAAATGACCAGAGACTGCAGACAGTACAGGAGATGACCAGAGACTGCGGACACAGTACAGGAGATGACCAGAGACTGCGGACACAGTACAGGAGATGACCAGAGACTGCGGACACAGTACAGGAGATGACCAGAGACTGCGGACACAGTACAGGAGATGACCAGAGACTGCGGACAGTACAGGAGATGACCAGAGACTGCGGACACAGTACAGGAGATGACCCAGAGACTGCGGACACAGTACAGGAGATGACCAGAGACTGCGGACACAGTACAGGAGATGACTGCTGACCTTTGGGGAGGTGGGGAGCGGGTAGCTTAATTTGACAGGTACCCGCTCTTACTTCCGCGGAGTTTTTCTTTGATCTTACCTGTTCCTCTATCCAGCGGCGTGCTGTCTTCCCGGCTTCTGTAGTGTGGGCGCTCGGTGGACAGCTGGGTGCCCAGTGCGCATGAGCAAGAAGCGCTGCGCTTTGTGATTGGTCCGGCGGCTTCTGGGATCTGTCATGTGTCCCAGGTATCGCCTTACCATTTACAAAGAGCACACTTCTTGCGCATGCGCATTTGGCACCCGGCTGTCACGCACACTACAGAAGCCAGGAAGACAGCGCGCCGCTGGATAGAGGAACAGGTAAGGTCCCACTGCAGAGCTGAGCGGCCGACCCGGTATTCTGACACGGCCGCGGTGGAAATACCGGACCGGCCGCTCCATATTTGCTCCATAAGACGCACTGACATTTTCCCCCCTTTTTTTGGGGGGAAAAAGTGCGTCTTATGGAGCGAAAAATACGGTAATTCCCCACTGTTTTATGAAGTAACTCAAATCTTTGAAGCACCTAAAAAGTCCCAGTAATTTGTAATGGTGATTGCTGTGGTATTGATAGGGAAGAGGTGCATGGATCCAGCTTGCTGGTTCTACCCTACATCTAGGCTTAGTGTCTGGACTACAGAACAGCTCTCCCCTATGTTTTTTTTGAAGAGAAGAAGTGTCGGTGTTCAGTAGTCCTTCGAAATAGCTAGGAACATTGTCATTGATAAGAATGCAGTACAAGTAGAGGTCTCGGGAATTATCCTCCGTTCACTGGATTTTATGTCAGGATTCACAGATTTTTTTTTTTTTTGCACTTATTAGTACAATATACCAAAAACATTTTACAGACCAAAAGGGGGCAAATTAGTTCAATTTCGAGGATTACATTCTGTGCTTTAACGTTAAAAAAAAAAAAAAAAAAAAAAAAAAAAAATCAGCATTCACATTAGAATTCCTCAGCAATTAGCCCCCAGTCTGAACCTTAAAGCAGTATTAAACCCAAAACTATAAATGTAATATATTTCAGCTTATCACCCCCCCCCCCCCCCCCCTCCCCCCCCCGCCCCCCCCCCCCCCCCCCCCCCCCCCCCCCCCCCCCCCCCCCCCCCCCCCCCCCGTTTTCACCTGCGGATCTGGCCAGTGACACACCTCCTGAATTAGAGTGCCCCCACTCTGGATGAAGGAGCACAGGGGACACCTTTGGATAGCAGCATTAATAATCTAGAGGGGTGGTGGTGTTAGTGCATCTAAATCTTCTAGCAAATCTAACAACTTGAATCTGAACTGCAGCTAATACTTTCTAAGCAGTTGCAGTACTTGTTTTTGGAATAAAGGTTTTATATCAAATAAAAGCTGACCATTGTAAGCACCTCTGTCAGTGGCAAATGATTTGTCTCAACTAACTGCTACACCTGCAGAACAGCTTCTTTTGCTGAAAAAAAACAGACATACTGGCTAGATCACCAAAATAAAAACAGAGGGAAAAAGCATAAAAAAAATATGCAGCCAACAAGCTGCAAAACAAAACAAAAAGTCAGGTCCCCCGCAGGTTTAAGTCATAATTACTAGTATGCACAGCTTACTAGCACATTATGACAAACGTATCTGCACACAGAGCCTTCCAGCGCAGCTCCTTGGCACATCCAGCTTCACCCAGTCTTCTTTCCGGGTTCGCTGGCTCCAGCTGTATGAATGGCCGGGGCTGTGATGACATCACTCCCGTGGGAGCCCCGGAACCGAGATCTGAAGCTACAGCATGGGTATGCCGCCCCTTCAAAGCATATCCCCCGGTGACGTCACCGACTGCATCCCATGTGAATATTGTCTGAACGGTGCAAGTTTCGGAGTTATTCACTACACCTGCACTACCTATAAAGGATTACCTGCAGGTACAAGTTAAAAAGTGGACTTCACTCCCACTTTACTGTGGTATTAAACCCAAAAACAAATATTTATTAAAGTACTATTTTTATGTCTGTCTTCAGGTAAGAGGAGCAGTTTGTAGACATTTGGGTGAATTGATTTGCTCTTTTTCTTATAAGAGGAAAAAAAAAAAATCCAGACGTCCCCCAATCATGGCTTGGCAGTACAGTAAGTAATGAAAACATCATGCAGAAACACTTGGCACATTATGTAACAGTGTAGTGACTCCTGTACCCATTTATTGGCGCTCTCTACAGGGAAGCAAGCAGCTGGAATTGACAACAGCGCACCGCAACGTATCTGAACATATCCTGCCTCAAACATCCAATGTAAAAAGGACAGGCTGTACTTTAAAATGTTCTGGAACCATTTGTACATAAACTGAGAATTCCATAACTAAACAAAAAAAGTTAAAAAGGATTAAAAAACAGCAATTTAGTATTTAAAAAAAATCAAATGCATTTTCAAATGCTACTAGTTTAGGTAGCATCACAGGAGACTTGGCTCATCCCTTGCACAGAGGGAGGGACAATACTAGCAGCCAATTCATCTTTGCTGCATACACATGTGCTACCATCAAGAAAAGTTACCAGATTGAGCAGAGAGATAACCTCATCTCTGTGCTGCTGCTCCTTCCGAGTCTATTCAGTAAGACGAAGACTCAAAACACTTCTAGCTGTGAAGAGGAGTGTAGATCATTCTCTCAGCGTGGGGCAGCACTGTTGAGGAACGCTAATCCAGTGACTGCAGAGGAGAATCGGTTACAGGTAGTGGTGCACTGAAATGAAAATTCTGGTGCCGAAAACTGAAACGCGCAGTTTCTAAAAATGAATACATATTTCTTGAAAAAAAATACATCGATTAAAAAAAACAAAAAACAATATATACCCCAATTTTTTGTAAAATATGAAAGAGGATGTTACGGTGAGTAAATAGATACCAAACACGTCACGCTTTAAAATTGTGCACGCTCGTGGAATGGCATGAAACTGCAATACTTAATCTCCACGGGTGATGCTTTAAAAATGTTTACAGGTTAGCAGTGTAAATCGTATAAAAAGGTATAGTGCGAGAATTATTGCTGTTGCTGTGACCTACGTGGCGATACCCCACGTGTGTGGTTTAAACACCATTTACATATGTGGGCATGGCCTACATATGCGGTCACCACGGGGGGGACGGGGGCGCTTTTAACTTTTTTTTTTTTTTAAATGTATTTAATTTTTTTTTTGCACTGTCCCTTTAAAAAAATGTTTTAATCACTTTATTCTTATGACAAGAAATGCATGCATCCCTTGTGATAGAAATAATTAGTGACAGGTCCTCTTTATGGAGAGACCCCACATCTTTCCTCTGCAATGTAAAGCATTGGATCAAAAAAAAAAAAAAAGCATTTCGGCATCTGTATCGGTGGCCCAGGAGCGAGCATATACGAGTGCCCCCAGAACAAGCAGCTTGCTCTAGGGGCACTCAGCAGAGTGAAGGAGCCAGGAGCACCAGCAGGGGACCCGAGAAGAGGAGGATCAGAACCATTGTACAGAGCAGGTAAGTATGACATGTTTATTTTTCTTTTAAAGCCAAACCTTTAGTATCACTTTATTGCTGAACTCCAAGTAGATACAAAAGCAATTGAATGCAGCTCTGTAATACATCAATGCACTTTTTAAATGAAAGCAGTGCAATTATCTGATTTTGACCAGAGCTCAGAATTAAAGGTAGCAGTACAAGAAGCCGATTAGCTGTGCTGCAGTACTCAAGGGACATGCTAATATAAAGTTAGAGTAAAAAGAAGAACACATCAGTTTCCTACTTCTCCTTTCAGAATCCAATCACAAGCTGGTGGAGCGACAAAACCTGCAAGGCTGTATGGCAAGAGCCTTGTAAATCTCCAAACATGACAGAAATACAATTCCTTTGGCAGGATCCTCTGTATGCATTGCATTTCTATATAGCCGTTTGCCTCAAGTTCAAAGTTAAGAAAAAAATTAAATAATGAAATGAAGCCAAACCATTCACTCTAAGGAGAACCAAGCAGCTGTATCTGATGCTCTTTAATGTGATGGTTGGAAAAATATTTGCCAAGCAAGAGTTCCTGACAAGGCGGATGATATATACAATTGTGCTTTACCAAAATACAAAAAAACAATGAATTTGTTCATTTGAGACACGGGCCAAGATGACCTTGACAGGGACAAACCACTAAACAGGGGCAAAGCAAACAGACGTCAACACAAAACCGATTCTATTATAATGGACACAGAATTTATGCCAAGGACCGGTCCTCTAAAAGCTGCTTCTCTTCGCTGCCCAACTGGTTAGAGCAACATCATCATGTACAATGCAGTAGATCAGTCCTAAGCTGTACTGTACACCCAGCAGGACCACATCCCAGCCGTGTCAGACAATAGTTCAACCATGCCGCAGGGAGGTGGGCCACTGCAAGAATACCTTAAAGGCCAAGTTCACCTTTCTAAACATGTTGCACCCATATTTATGGTGTAAAATGGAACATGTTCAGCATAAACCCCCCCCCCCCCATGACAGTAGGTGGGGAATCCCACCTACTGTCACAATTTGAAAACAGCGTGGCCATGGAGGGATCCGCCCACACGTCCAGGCTATTCATTCACCGTTTCCTGTGACAGAAAAGACTACAAGTACCATCAGTGATCACAGTGGTGAGTTCTCTCGTACATCACTGATCTTCCTGCTTGCCTGTACAGGAGGTAAGGGCAGAGAGCTATCCTGAGAGTCTGCAGGAGATTACCACTGCACCCGCAATCTGCTGATTGTGGTGCAATGCTCTGAAGGGTCCTTAAATGTACTTATAATATTTCTTTTCAAAAGCTGAACTCATTTTTTAGGTGTAAATTCACCTTTTCAAAAATGAAATCCTCCCCATCCCGCCAGTCCACGCAGTACATACCTCTGTGAGCGATGAGCTGGGGTGCCCACGCAGTCAGTGTAGTGGTCCAGGGATTTGAAATGCACACTCTTCTTCCTCTTCTCTCCTCAGGACTTTGGGGGATGGATAAGAGTGATTACTATTGGTCAGTGCTGGCAAAGGGTATTGCTCTCATCTGTCCTGGAAGTTTGCAGAAAGAAGAGGAAGGAGGAAGAATATTTGCCCAGACCACGGAACAGTCTGCGTGGGCGTTGGCAGCTCATCACCCACCCAGATAAGTACAGCAGGGACCAGGGGGAAGTGGGGAGGGTGTACAATGCTTTTTATGAAAAGGTGAAATAACTTTTTAAAAGGTTAAGTTCACTTTAAAAAAAAAAAAATGCTCTTTTTTTTTGCAGGTAAACAAAAAATGTGAATTTACTTTTTTTTTTTTTTTGGAGCCTGGAAAGCGCTGCATCAGCAATCAGCAAATTGCTGGTGCCATGCAGGACTCCTGCAAACCTGTCAGTGTATCTGTGTGTCTGTACATCTCATACAGGCAAGCAGATACAGTCTGACAGGAAGACTCGAACTACCGCAGAGCTGTAGTAGTTAATTACAAACTATAAGCCGACAGCCGCAAAGGTGGTTGGGACTTGTAGTTCATTCATCCATAGATACAATCGTGTGAGCAGAGCCCAGCACAGCCACCCTGTTTTTAAAAAGTGACAGCTCGTACGGGGAACTTCTCCCTGTACTGCTGTCAAAGGGAGAGAAGACAGCAGGTGGCGGCTGCAGCAGTGGGAACATGTTACATATTCCACCCTAAAAATGGATGTAGCATGTAATATGTTCACAAAGGTGAACTTATCCTTTAAGCACACTTTGTATCTTTACACATAAAAGATCATATTGATGTAAATAAAGGTAAGAAGACTGCTGATAGTTTTGCTAAGCTCTGCCCATAGAACATCAGAACAGGAGCAATTTGTAGACAATCTCACAAAATACAATATTATAAAAATAGTATGTACACGAAAACCAATAGTACTGAATGGCACTACAGGCATATTACAGATGCATATAAGGACCAACAGCTTTTGTAATCTATGATTGCGTGTTCTGGATTGTAGAAGTGGAGTTTCAAGACATAAAATCACTTTCTCAGATCAACAAGATGGCAGCTGAAGCTTTCTTTTTTTTTTTTTTTTTTTTTTACATGTACAGACTCTGAAAAAACAAATCTGAATGTTTCAGCAGCACAGCATGGCTGTTCAATGACAAAAAAAAAAAAAAAAAAAAAAGTACCTTCCAGAAATTATCCACTTTGCCGTACACAAGAGACTGGTTCTGCCGCTTGATGTCGTTCATGTGTCTGATGTCGCTGGCATTCAGATGTTGCTCAACCACGAACCCCAGGAAGCTGTTATCTGGTGTGTGAGCTGTATGGGGAGAGACAACATGCTGTAAATATTGATTTCTCTAGTTCAGAAAAGTGTTGTTACAATTATTTTATACACTTTACAGGCTCAGAAAATAGCATTGTTGAGAAACTGAGCAGAACGGCAGTAAATTTTAAACTTCATGGACAAATGAATGCTATAGGACGCACCACCTTCCATTTTTTTACTAGAAGACAGGACTCAATTACTCAGTTTGCACAGGCTGCTTGCAAGCATTCATCACTTTAAACCATATTCCCAAGCGATTACCAAAATCCACTCTAGCATCTCTTTTGCTAGTATAAAAATATAAATCAGCAGCCACCCGTAAAAGAAGTTGAGTACTTACCTGTCCAGCAGACAGAAAGTCCATGCTATTTTTCACTGCAGCGCTATGGGTACCGCTCATCAGACCTCTGGTTGTGTTGGGTAGTATGTCTCCTGCTGAACTCAGTTTCTCCCAGTAGCTAGTACTGAACACAGTAGTAATGCAGCAAGGTGGTGAAACCACTGGGTGCAATGGAGACACACTACCACACACACCTGGAAACAATACATACAGTGGGTATAGAAAAGTGATAGATGTAACCCGACAACCTGGTGTGCTCAAACGTTCTAAATCTTTGACTACATAAGTTATACACAGTAAAAAGCAGTTCATGCATTTTGGCCACAGTGGCCGTACCCATAGCATGATGCTATGAGTAAGGCCACTGCTGCCGAAACGCGTTAGCCGCAATTTACTGGGTGTAACTTATGTAGTCAATAAAGAATTAGAACGATTGAGGGCACCAGGTTGCCAGCTTCCATCTATCGCTATAAAAGCTCCAGGTCAGGAAATGAGGGAAAATCTCAGCAGAGACACAACAATAAAGACCAGACTCAAGTTCTAAACACCAGGGCAGGAGTCCCCCCCAAGTAGGGATAACAGCAATACCTAAAGATAATACATTGACCAGAGTTCAGCTTTCTTTTGCCTACATTATACAGAAGAATCGCACCTCTGTGAACCGCAGACACAATCACAATTGAAGGACTGCATGTATTCATGAATATTAACATAACATATCCATTCACCGATGTTTTTTCCTTTGTCAGCACAGCAGAAAATGATACGCTGTGTGCAACTGCCCTAGAAATTTTTTTTTTCTATTATTATTTTGGAGGGGAATGCTGGACAAGGTGAAAAGGGCACAAAATAAAAACTGTATGCCAGCCTTTATGTTTTCATCAGAAGAAAATGCTTCCAATTGTCAGCTGGTATTAATTTTAGGCTGTCAGAGCCCCAGGCAGGTTTGCTGCGACCTCGGGAAGGAGAGAGAGCGAATACAAATTTCAAGGGGAAATTGGTAACAAGTTTTCAGAAATTGAATTGCTGGACACAGCGCTCACTTTACAGGAACAGCCAGGAATAAGTAATAAGTTTCTCTATCTGCCTCTCTGCGCCAGTCACATCTATTGCTCGGCTGGCAGCGGAACATGAAAGAGGACTGTCTGGTAATAGGGAAGGAGACATGGAAGTCTTCACTTGTCAGATCTACGGGTATCACTGCACTAAAGATAAAAGGGAAATAGTTAAAAATTAAAGATCTTCAGGGTAAAGAAAAAAAAAAAAAAAACTGTTCTCAGTCCAATGGCAAATGGGGAAGCTAATATAATGTTAAATATAGAAACATGCAAACATGCTTGGGACAATCACAGATCTATACTCAGATAAGCACACCTAAAATAAATAAAAAGAAAAAAAATCACGAATGATGTAGGCTTGATGGACCACTTTAGGTTGGCAAAAAAACATGGAGTAGTGACTGTAGAAAACACTTAACCTGTGCTCATGTTGGCAGTGGTAACTTCAATAATTGCTGTAGTCACATGATCTCTCGGGCCCTCGATCCCCTCATGTTTTGCATTGTATTGTTATTGTTCTGTCCCCCTTTGTAATGTACAGCGCTGAGCGAACTATTGGCGCTTTATAAATACTGTATAATAATAATAATATAATAATCTCTCAAAGGCAGTAGAGCTCCTCAGACATGAAAATATGAACAAAGCATATCCCTCTATAATGTGTACTTGTCTCAATCCAAAGCACTAAGTGTTATTTCTGTCTGCTGTCTTGTTCCTCTGCTATCAGCATGAATTACTGACACCAAAAGAAAAAATGGTGACAGGAAAAGGGCCTCCAGCAGATTGACAGCCTCAGCTCTGTTCTGTGTGCATGGAGAGAGGGGGGGGGGTATTTCTTCCCTCCAATCAGCTCTCAGAGCTCTCTTCACTGAGCTCTAACATCAGCTCTCTCCGCCCCCTTTTTCTGAACTCCCAAACAAGTTTGATAAATTCAGCATTTTAAACAGATTTAGAGAAGAGAAGACTGCAGATAGACAGGTACAACTTATGTGGAGGATTTGTTTCATCCCTGTGTATCACCGGAGGCCAGTCACTTCACTGGGTATATGTAAGGGTTTAATGAAGAAAAACATTTTTTAATGGAGATGCTAATAACATTGTTTTTAAATAGGGAACTGAAAACAATGCAGAACTTAAGAAGAACACACGCTGTTCACCCGACTGCCTTGAGGACATCTGACTAGAGCTGTAGGGACGCTATCATTGCCAACATAGGTGCAGGCTAAGACAGCTGGCATAGACACAAACAAGGGATGGCAGAAAAAAAGGCAAAGTGATGCCATCAAGTCTGCCTTTCTTTTGCTCTTGTTCAAGTATAGATCTAGGTTTTTCCCAAGCATGTTTAACCTTTTTGCTGCCAGAGCCGTTTATGCATACGTTTAAAAAATCATTTTAGATCTGAAAATTGCAAAAAAACCCAAATTATATATTTTCTGAAAAAAGACACCCTAAACAATAAAATAGTAATAGTTGCAATTTATGTCACAATATTTCCACAAACGTCTAGGGAACGCAAAATTTCAGTAAAAAATACACTAAAAGTTAATTTTAGGGCACACAAATGCAATAAATTACCCAAGTTTTGGTAAAATATAAAAAAGGAGGTAGTACCAAGTAAATAGATATCAAACATGTCAAACCTTAAATTTGCTTGCGTCTGTGAAAAGGCGATAAAAGCCCCTATAGGTCATCAGTTTGGCGATACGGAGTGGTCTGGTGCTAGAAATATTGCTCTTATTCCGGTGTGCGTGGCGATATGCAACATATGTGTATTGCAATTGTTGTTTTTATACGTAGGCACCCTGTGCACATTTGTGTTCATATGTGCGTACATGTGGAAAAAGGCCTCTTGGGTATTACTTTTTTTTTCTTCAATATAAAAAAAAAAAAAAAAAAACCACAACAAAAAAACCCCAAAAAAAACAAAACGTAACTTTATTTCACATCACATAGGGGACAAAAAGTCATAGCAAAGAGTCAAATTCTCCTGTACATAAGTGTGGAAGACCAGGGATAGTTTTCCTACTGTCTATGTTGAGGCAACCAAGGGAAATATTAGACCTTTCTGCTCTCAAACGGCTAGGTTGGTCCAAACTGCAAAAAGAAACCGGGCGCACAAGCCTAATGTATTATCCCAAGGTAAGGTTTAATAAAATTATGGTTCAGGATCCTGAAAATGGCTTGTGTGTTTCGAGGGCAACCCTGAGGGCTCTGAGGAAGAGGGTTGCCCTCGAAACACGTAAGCCATTTGCAGGATCCTGGACAGTGTCCCTATGGTGGTTTGATGGTTCTCTGGGTCTGTACTAAGAGGTTGTAACCTGATATTCCTTTTTTACATATTGTTTGTGTTTCTACCATAATTTTATTAAACTTACCTTGGAATAGTGCACTAGGCTGGTGCGCTCTGTTTGTCTTTTTGGCAGGAGCCCGCTTGTCAGATGTACAGCCTGGGAGAGTGTGTAAAACCCCCCCGCTATCAGTTCTGAACGACATACAGCTTTGGCAGGGTTAGAACCCGACTTGACTGGCTCACCATCTCTGCTAGAATTCTATTGCAGCCACCAGCTACTCTTTCAGTAAAATGCTAGTTTCTAGGATTAGTTTTTAGCTTTCCTCCTTCTAGATGGAGGTCGTGGCATTATTTAGGAAGTTGATGACCTGGAACAAGCATTGCAGACAGGAATTCAGACTTACACTTATCCAATTCAACAGATTAGTCAGCAATGCCTCAGGTAGTAAAGCCAGATAAGGATTAGGCCTCGTTCACACAGGCGTACTACAGCATACACCCGAGTGAGGGCAGTACTTACCTGGATAGAGATGCACAGGTGTTTGTGCAGCTGCTGTGTCCCAATTAACATGCATGGCGATGCACCAGAGTCGCTGCTCCCAATGACATCAACGCGGGTGCAGGTGCACAACATGAATGCAAATGTCTTCTATCCTATCCCCTATAAAACCAGCAAATACTTTAAAACTCTTTAAGAAGCAAACTTACGAAACATGGTATAGAACTGTTGAGGGTTCAGATTCCATTTTCCCCAAGGTGTTTTGTGGCCTTTGGATTGAGCATACTGGGCGTGATTAAATTCCGGTTCAGTCCCAAATGAATCCAGAACTCGCAGCATACACCTGAAAAATGAAATGCGGTTAACTTAGAACTCATTTAAAATAGTATTCAACAACACAGCTTCCCAGCAAGATCATACAGAAAACCAGGCCAATTTCCACATTTTAACATTAGACGTGCAAAACACTTCTACATCACTACTTGCCTACTGGGACAATTTTTTTCACAGGTTAATTACTGCATTTTTTCTAGAAATTGCAGTAAATTCCCCAAGTAGTATATATTTTCTGAAAGCAGATACCTTGGAGAACAAAATGGTGGTAGTTGTATGTATGTCGCACGATATTTGAGCAGCTATTTATCAAATGCATATTTTCAGAGGAAACAAAAGAAAAAAAAGTAATTTTAGTGCACATATGCACATTATACAAAATTTTGGGGTAAAATATAAAAGATTGAGCTGCTTTGAGTAAGTAGATACCAAACATGTCAAATCCTTATAATTGCACATGCCTGTGATTGGCAAAAAAAGCTACGGTACCCAAAATTCTCCATAGGCAATGCTTTAAAACCCTTTAAAAGTTCAGTGTAAACTTAATTGAATTATGGCTTCGGAATTATTTCTCTTACCCATATGTTTACGATGCCACTTCACATGTGGCGCAATTAATGTTTACATGTACAGGTGAAACGCGAAAAATTAGAATATCGTGCAAAAGTTCATTTATCTCAGTAATGCAACTTAAAAAGGTGAAACTAATATATGAGATAGACTCATTACATGCAAAGCAAGATAGTTCAAGCCGTGATTTGTCATAATTGTGATGATTATGGCTTACAGCTCATGAAAACCCCAAATCCACAATCTCAGAAAATTAGAATATTACATGCAATCAATAAAACAAGGATTGTACATAGAACAATATCGGACCTCTGAAAAGTAGAAGCATACATATGTACTCAGTACTTGGTTTGGGCACCTTTTCCAGCAATTACTGCCTCAATGCGGAGTGGCATGGAAGCTATCAGCCTGTGGCACTGCTGAGGTGTTATGGAAGACCAGGATGCTTCAATAGCGGCCTTCAGCTCTTCTGCATTGTTCGGTCTCATGTCTCTCATCTTTCTCTTGGCAATGCCCCATAGATTCTCTATGGGGTTCAGGTCAGGCGAGTTTGCTGGCCAATCAAGCACAGTAATCCCACGGTCATTGAACCAGGTTTTGGTGCTTTTGGCGGTGTGGGCAGGTGCCAAGTCCTGCTGGAAAATGAAGTCAGCATCCCCATAAAGCTCGTCTGTGGAAGGAAGCATGAAGTGCTCCAAAATCTCCTGGTAGACGGCTGCGTTGACCCTGGACTTAATGAAGCACAGTGGACCAACACCAGCAGATGACATGGCTCCCCAAATCAACAAAGACTGTGGAAACTTCACACTGGACTTCAAGCATCTTGCAGTGTGTGCCTCTCCATTCTTCCTCCATACTCGGGGTCCTTGGTTTCCAAATGAGATGCAAAAGTTACTCTCATCAGAAAAGAAGACTTTGGACCACTGAGCAACAGACCAGGTCTGTTTTTTTTTTAGCCCAGGTAAGACGCTTCCGATGTTGTTTGTTGTTCAGGAGTGGCTTGACAAGAGGAATACGACACTTGAAGCCCATGTCCAGGATCCATCTGTGTGTGTGGTGGCTCTTGATGCACTGACTCCAGCCTCAGTCACTCCTTGTGAAAGTCCCCAACACTTTTGAACGGCCTTTTCCTGACAATCCTCTCCAGGCTGCGGTCATCCCTGCTGCTTGTGCACCTTTTTCTTCCACACTTTTCCCTCCCACATAACTTTCTATTAATGTGCTTTGATACAGCACTTTGGGAACATCCAACTTATTTTGCAATTACCTTTTGAGGCTTTCTCTCCTTATGGAGGGTGTCAATGATGGTTTTCTGCACAAGTGTCAGGTCAGCAGTCTTTCCCATGATTCTGATTCCTACTGAACCAGACTGAGAGACCATTTAAAGGCTCAGGAACCCTTTGCGGGTGTTATGGCTTAATTAGCTGATTAGAGTGGGACACTTTGAGCCGAGAATATTGCACCTTTTCACAATATTCTCATTTTCTGAGATTGTGGATTTGGGGTTTTCATGAGCTGTAAGCCATAATCACCACAATTATGACAAATCACGCTTGTCTTGCGTTGCATGTAATGAGTCTATCTCATATATTAGTTTCACCTTTTAAGTTACATTACTAAAATAAATGAACTTTTGCATGATATGCTAATTTTTTGAGTTTCACCTGTGATGAACTCGCCTTACACTGCGCAATGTATATGAGGTGTGTATGGAGGTGGCGGGAGTGCTTTAAATTTTTTTTTATTATTTGTTTTAAAATAATTTAACACTTTTTCTCCAACTTTATTGCTATCACAGAGGAGGCTCCCTCCAATGCAACTATTCAAGCACAGAATCATGCTTGAATAGCCGTTTCCTCAGCTACACTAGCCCAAGAGTGACAGCTGTGGTCTTGAAAGTGATGCAATACATGTTACTTAATACAAATTCCTCCTGCGCATATATGGAGTATACCTATGAATTAAAGCAGCTCACACTTTAAACTGAAACCTCAATCACTGAAACAAAATAAGTAATAATATGCAGTACACCCAGGCATGAGGTTTTTTTTGCTGTTTTTGGCTGTGATTTCATTTACACCAAGTGAGTGGGCATTTTTATACATTAAAGAGTCTGATTTACCCATAATTACTGCACTATGAAGGAACTTTTTTTCACTTACCATGGTTCATGGTGAGTGATATATATAGCTGGTGTACCTATCCTGAGAGATCTGGAGTACAGATTACTTACCTGAGAGGGAAACCATAGGAGGAGTGCAGAGGATACCAGCCATTACTGGAGAAGGATCTAGGAATGATCCTGGAGGCTTAGTGGCCCTTTGGGTCGCAGAGTGGAGGTGAGGGGCATTTTAGCCATGGAGGATAAGTGTGCTGACACCATCACAGAAATCATCATTTTTTTAAATTGTTGTTTAGAGCACTATCTGGATGATTTATGAACTTTATTCGAGTGGAATATATTTTAAAGTTATATATTTGAATTCATTTGGTCACTTTTATCACTGATCACTTAAAGTGTGGTTTTATTTATCATATTCATGGGGGGTTGTCTATATGTAATGATACACGCATTGATTGGTTATTAATGCACAGGTTCTGAAGTTATATCAGGATCTTCGGTCACATAGTATTTGAACACTTATACTGGAGCACATTGTGGCACTTTATAGAATCTTGTATCACTTCACATTATATTATTTGCATGTTTGGATGATTTACATGATATGTTGTGCTAATAGCATAGTAGCGCTGCACTATATTAATACATGTTACTTCCAGGCTCATCAGTCATAGGAAGAAGGATCAGGAATGGATGTTCCCAATGCTCATCCAGCACTCACTGTATAAGTAGTTTCCCAGAGTCCCAGGCTCAGGAGAGCCCAAGAACCACCTCAGGTGCTGCCATTGGGATTGGGGGGGGGGGAGGCAATGACCTGCATGGATCAATTTTATAGCAAAGCCTTTCACTGGCTGTTAAAGCCAGTACCAGGCTCACAGCTGCCAAACTGATTTAAGCACTTGTCTACCATGCCATTTATAAACATACCTTGGTAGAGCAGTGGTTATAGGTTCAAGTGTGTAGGAATTATAAGCTTTAAAGTGTTACTACACCCAACATTCACTATATCTGGTCCCCCACAGTACACACAACATGGAAGTGCAATTTATTTTAGTAAATATAATATAATAAAATAACTTTTCTCATCAGCAGTTAGAGCAATCTTGTGACTTCTATCAGTGTTCAGCAGAGCACTGGTTAAAGCTTGTAGGAGGAGGAGTTTTTTCTGTTCTAGGAGGATGCAAAACCCCTGACCTCTGTCTGGACAGTGCTGATTGGCCCTGTGCTGATCACATGCACTCCCAAGAAAAAAAAAAATCTCTCTAGCAATACACGCTAAACTGAGCATGTGCAGAAGGGCTACGGGTTTCAGTCTGTCTTATCAGCGTGGACATTTGAACAAGAGGAGGGACAGGGAAGTCAGGATCAAACAGCCTTCTTACACAAATGCAGAGGATTAACCTCTTAGGTTCCACAGTGCGTATAACAAGCATGCATTACTGCATATACAGACTGATTTTACTGTTGTGGTTTTAGTAACACTTTAAAGCTGAAGTCCAGGAAAACAGCTTAATGAAAAGATGAAAGGGCAAAACACAGTATAAATAAGTTGTTGTACCTGCCAAAGGATTAATATTTGTCCATTCAGTTCAGAAACGTACACAGCTCTGCTTTACAGCACAGCTCTGCTGCAGTTACACTTGCAGGAAAATGCAGTTACACTTGAAGGAAAATGATAAATGATTTTCAACATTTTTTACAAATAAATACCTGAAAAGTGTGGCGGCATTTGTATTCAGCCCCCCGGAGTCAATACTTTGTAGGACCCCCTTTCTCTGCAATTCCAGCTGCAAGTCTTTTTGGAGAGGTCTCTCCCAGCTTTGCACATCTAGAGAGGGACATTTCTGCCCATTCTTCTTTGCAGAATCGCTCAAGCTCTGTCAGAGTGGATGGAGAATCTGGGAACAGCAATTTTCAATTCTTGCCACAGATTCTCCATTGGATTTAGGTCTGGACTGTGAATATGCTTTGATCTAAACCATTCCACTGTAGCTCTGGTTGGATGTTTCGGGTCGTTGTCCTGCTGGAAGATGAACCTCTGCCCCGGTCTCAAGTCTTTTGCAGACTCCAAAAGGTTTTCTTCCAAGATTGTCCTGTATTTGGCTTCATCCATCTTCCCATCAACTCTGACCAGCTTCCCTGTCCTTGCTGAAGAAAAGCATCCCCACAACATGATGCTGCCACCACCATGTTTCACGGTGGGGATGGGGTGTTCAGGGTGATGTGCAGTGTTCGTTTTCCACCACCCATAGCATTTTGCTTTTAGACTAAAAAGTTCAATTTTGGTCTCATCTGACCAGAGCACTTTCTTCCACGTT